AGACCCTTCCTTTCTCTCTATATATCTAAAGCTCTCTCTCTCTCTCTCTCTCTCTCTCTCTCTCCCTCCCTCCCTCCCTCCCTCCCTTTCTGAGACAACATCTCACTATGTTGTCCTCCCTAGTCAGGTACTTGCTATGAGGTTGAGGATGGTCTTGAACTCAGCAGAGTTGCCACAACTGGTTTCCATGAAAAATTTAAATTAGGACAATTTTTTCTCTAGGCTGGTATTTCCTTATTCATATGTCTGACCCTATACCTCCAGCTCACCTGATTCTCAGGACTGCCACTCATTCTTTATGGGCTTCAGTGTCTTTCTGCTTATGATGCCACACAGGTCTGTCACAAGGTGCCATTCTGTTGTTTAGAGATTTTTCTGGCATTCATATGAATAACAAAAGAGTTAGTATATATTTTAACACACATACACAAACACATACAACACAGTTGCACTGGTGAAAGTGAGCTTTGAACCACAGTCAGGCTTTGGCATTGTTGTTACATATAGGAACAAACCAACAAAAACTTACTCATCCCACTAGACTTTTCTGTACATTAGCCTTGTTGATAGAGATGTTAAACTGCTCTTTTTTAAATATAATTGTTCATTTCATCAGAATTACCCAGGTTTGTAAAATATTCTTCTTGGATTTCAGGTTTTGGGATTACTGTTTACCATAAAATACACACAGGTTTTTCTTAAATCTAGAGATAGCCTAGATTTGATTTTAGTTATCTTTATTTATGTGTATGTAAGTTTAGGTGCATGTTAGTATGCACATGTGTATACAGGTATCTGTGGAGGCCAGAAGAGACTGTTAAATCCTCTGGAGCTGGAGTTACAAGTCATTGTGAGCTGCCCAATGTGGGTGCTGGGACCTAAATGCTGGTCTCTGGAAGAGCAGAAAGTGTTTGAAACCACTGGGCATCTCTCCAGATCCAAGCCTAGATTTTGATAGACAAAGAAGTAAGTTAAGCTGGGCATGGTGGCTCACACCTTTGATCCTAGGCTCTCAGGATGCAGAGACAGATGGATCTCTATGAGATCAAGGCCAGCAGCCTGGTCTACATATCAAGTTCCAGGTCAGCTAAGGCTGACCCTGTCTCTCAAAGAGAATTTAAATAAATAAATAAATAAATAAATAGATAGATAGATAGATAGATAGATAGATAGATAGAAGTTAAAAACCCATGAAGTTTATTTACAGCCAAGGAACAAGCCACAAATCCATATTCAACAAATCCATATTTAACAAATGCATGGAAATAGATAATAGCCAGGTGGGCTGTAGCAAAGGCAGGAATGTTCTGTAGATGTCTGATGTTGTCTGATATATTCTTAGCTTTAGCACTGATGAAGGCTCAAGGTCTGCTCAGCTTAGTGGGAGGCTTAGCTCACACTAGAATATGAGGTCAGATATAACAGTTAAAGTAAAGACCATTGAATGATATAATGCAGTCCAGAAAATGTTGACTCTAGGTATTATATCCAGTTTCAATTAATTCTTGATTTGTTGCTACAAAAAATGTATTTTGGGTGTCTAGAAATAGAAGAACAGTACATACCTGTTTTATTTTAGTCTTGTTGGTGTTGATAACCTGAAGATTTGGGGAGAGAAAATGTTAGAACATGTGTAAATAAAATTCCAAAACCTGATTCATTAGGAAAAGCAAATCTATCTTATGTGATCAGAAAATGAGAAGGTCAGGAAGCACAGAAACGTCATTGCCTTTAGATCCTAAATGTTCATATCACGAGTGGGAGAAAACTAGGGAAATGTAAATAGTTACATTCCATCCCTAATTCCTCAAAATGTCCACATCCATTTTATCATGTCGTTAACCTCACTAAGATTTTTTTTTTTGTATTAGAATATTCCCTATTTTACCCATCACATAAAAACTTGCCATTTACAATTGACTCAGTTTTTAGAAATAATGTTGGCTAGACACATTATTTTAAAAATTCTTGGGCATTCAAATTGTGTTTTGGCTGACTATGGAAATTGGGCACGCCTGGCTTTGGTGGGAATGAAGATAAAAAGATGTATCTGAATCCATCAACCTTACAGAACTAAAGGAGGGTCAACTGTGCTATATCAAAATGGGGAGACATAATTCAAGGAAATCTAGATTAGCAAGAAGCTGTTTGTCTTTAAGAAACTGAGAAATGTTGATCAAATTACAAATTGATAAGCAGTTAGTACAGGGAACTTAATTCAAAATATTCAACTAGTGAAAATCAACAAAAAAAGTCTGACAAGTGTTCAAAGTGAATTATAAATGCGTGGTGGTCAATAGTATTGAAAGCCACTTAGAAGTCTTTCCCAGTTATTAGTGTTTACTGTACTGGAACCAAATAAGATTTAAAATTTGTTCCCGTAATTCATATCAGACTACCTTCCATGTATTAGGCAATTCAAGTGATCTTTAAATTATTGTCAAATTCTACCTTAAAGAGCGCTTTCACAAAGGACATGCAATTCATGTCATCCAGAGTTACTGTCATTTCTAGGCTAAGTCCCATGGAAATTCATAACTTAGAAATGAAAGTTGCAGAGATGCAATTGCCTTCATAATACCAATGCAGTGGGCATAAATATTTCATGAACATTGCATGGACCAGGGCAGATCTCCATTTTCATGAGTTAGAATTTGTACAGCTAAGTCTTCCGATTTTACTATTCATAATGCACAGGAGCGTCCATAGAGCATTCCATATAGTGCTTTTTAATATTTATGTTTAATGAAGAAATTACTGTTCTGAATAGAGAACAAGCAAAGCCAAGATTTCTTGTTGAAAGTCTCAACTGTTGCTGAATAAAGATAACAATCAACAGAAATTACCTCTGCAGTATCTCAGCATATAAACACATAACTTTCAGAGTAATATGGGGTGACAGATCAAAGCAAGTTAAAACTAAGTGAAAAGGTTCCTTTAAAGGTTATAACATTAGAAATCTCATCTTAGAAGAATTCAAAAGGTTAAAATTCAAAGAGAACCTTCCTTACACATAAAAACACTAATTACAAATGATATACTTGCTGACTATTTCGTAGTTTAAATATATGGCTGTATTTTCTTGGCTTTTTCTTTGATCCTCTCAAATTCTTTAACTTCCTAAGATAACATTACCAAGTTCAATAATGAATCACTGTTGCATATTTTAAGGTAATTTATCAAAGCACATTATCAGCACCTGTCAGAATAAATTTTGCACTCAGAGTAATGAAAAAAGGACTGTTGTGTGTGTTGAAATCAAAGAACATTACCACAGCAAAGTTTCTTCAATGAGGAAGGATAGGTGTTTGCCCTCTAAATGATACTTGTCCTGTGAGAAAATCAGAGCTTGAACAATCACAGGAAGCAGGCATAGGAAAATGTCTATTTCTTGCTTTTAAAAATGAACATTTGATATTTTATTTCATTTTTATCATTTTGATCAATTCTTTCAAGTAGAAGAGTGCTGAAAAAATGCTTCTCTACATCTAGTTAACACTTGGGAGAGTAAGCCAAGCGTACTCATGTGCCATTCAAGGTTGAGCTATTCCATTTTAGCATATAGTATAGATCATAACTGGATGGATGGCAACGGCAGGGATGGAATTTTCTCTGGAATACAATTCAACAAGACCCAGTTTTCTGATAGTGAAAACAGCAGACTTCAAATGGAATATCATTCACCTGAGAGTCAACAGTTCAAATATTTTTATTAGGCTTCCACCAATGAGGGTTCCAGAAATTGTTTCCTGAATTTGCCACCTGAAGTTGATTTTGCATTGCTGATATATTTAACTGAAAATGAGAAACAATTTTTTCCCCATTTGGTTCTTTTTAATCTCATTTTCCCAAGCTCCCTTGAGGAATTTAACCTTTAGGTGATAGATTTGCAGTTCATTTGACATGTGCTGGCCTCAGACCCCTAATGAGTCTAGGTGTGACACTGGGGAGGAATTTGGGAATTGTATCATGCAGCTGATAGTCAACAGATTTGTCCGCACATCTCCAGCTTTGATATTGTTCCAGGGCACATTTTGATCACAATTCTTTAATTAGGTTCTATATTTAACTGACCTATTTGAACAGGATCCAGAGCTGGTGCGGAACATCTGTCGCTGGGTGAGGCAAGCTGTTCAGGTTCCATTTTTTGCCAAGTTGACCCCAAACGTCACCGATATCGTAAGCATCGCAAAAGCAGCAAAGGAAGGTAAGAGCGTCATTAGTTGCCCCGTGTATCCAAGCTGAGGCACGCTCAGCTGCCCAGTGTATCCAAGCTGAGGCTCGCTCAGTTGACCAGTGTATCCAAGCTGAGGTACGCTCCTTTTCGCACGCACATGTAGGCATCTTTGTTTAAGTTTTAAGAAAAATATTAAATGGAACATTTGATTTCAGGATTGTGGAAGAGATACACCTGGACTTCAGCTAATAGACACCCCCCATCGGCTGGGAATACAGAATCATTTATCATTTTTCCTAATAAACACTTGTTCTACACATACACACATGAAAATATGAAGAAAACTACTGGCAGACCACTCCAAAGTTAAGGACCTGATCATGTAGCAATTCAATAACAGCTTTTGAATCTTTAATGAGGTTGGAAAAAATATACCAGCATCCACACTGTGAAACTGCTAACTCAGTTCCTTTGCATTTGAAAGAATCTAGCACTCTACCTTACACACCTGCTCAACAAATACCTGTTAAACCCATAAATCATTTCAGTCAATAAAAGATGTTACAAATTGTGCTTGTATCCCATTACATGAAACTGTCCCTGACTTGCAAAGACATTGCAAATGACCTGAAAACTCACATAAATACAAAGCATTTGCACCCGTAACTCCACCTAATGATTATGAAAGAGAAGCCATGGGCATTAAAACTCTTGGAATATCTAGCATATAAGCAGAATGTAACAGTTAAATAAATACAGGCATCCAATGGGAGGAAATTTTCTTAAGAGAAAATACAGTGGGCTGCATCGGTGTCAGTGGATTGCAAACATCATTTCCGCAAGAACTGCAGGCAAACGTTCATTTGTTTTTCACAGGTGGTGCAGATGGTGTTACAGCCATGAACACTGTCTCGGGCCTGATGGGATTAAAAGCGGATGGCACTCCCTGGCCTGCCGTGGGCATTGGAAAGCGGACCACATATGGAGGGGTGTCAGGTAAGTGTGGCTCTTACCTTGCGTTCTGCTTCCTTGGAGGTTGCTAGTAGTCAAGAAGTCAGGGAGCAAGCAAGAACATTATGTCTCTGTGAACTCAGAATCTTATATAAGTCATTGCTGGCCCAATCCCTAACTGCTATGACATGACAGATGGAGCATGAGGCTCACGTGACTATTAGAACAAGATGAAAGACTATTAACAAAGAGCTGTACTGATTCCCTTCTCGTCTGACCTGTGCTCTCCTCAGAGTTCCTTGAGGTCACCTTGCCACTTATTAGTGAAAACAACACCAGGGCCTTTGGAGAGAAAAATAGAAGCACCCAATTATAAGACCCTTTTAATAGTCTTAAATTGGTTTTCAGTATTCCGAAAATTTTTAAATCCATCTTCTTCAAAACACCTTGATTTTGCAACTTCCAACAACCATTAAAGCACTGTATTCTAGTTTCGCTGGCAAGACAGTGGCTGACCTCACGCTTTTGCATATTCTTTCTTAACCTCCAACACTTGAATTTGAAAAAGAGAGAGAAATTTACCACCAAGGTCCCTTCTGGTCTTGTTGCCCTACATACTTCGTTGCTGTGACAACATGAACTTGGCCTTGCAAAGACAATGCTATGAGCTTCTTGACTGGATTGATATGGGGATAAGTTTCCTTGGTGATAGAGAAAGTGGTAAATATACAAGACATAGTGGTGCCCCACTGCTCAAGAAAGGCACAGCTGAATCAGACAAGAATGCACTTTTGGAAGTGATGACTAACTAAAGCCCCATCGATGCTGAATTAGTCTGCTGTGAGTATGAGGCATGTCCATGAGCCATGATAAAACAAGGGCAAGAGTTTACATTATGCTCTTAACTAAATGCTCGGCCCACCATATCACAGGGAGGAAAGCTGCCAAGCAGCCCTTACTTAGACCCTGGACATTAATCTCTTTTACTAGGAGCCATCACACAGGGCCTTAACTATCACTGTGATGCAGAATAGCTGGGGCCGCATTAGCAAGGGTTCCAGAAAGAGTCAAGAGACTCTAGAGTTGGGTCTTAATGTGCGCTATGTTTTCTGTCAGCTCATTTCAATTTCTCCAGTCTGCCATGTTGACAGCAAGAGAATAAAGGAGGTCACAGAGGGTTCTGAACATTAAAAATTAATAAAAGAACTATTGCGGTTGTATTTTATATAAGCAACAACATTCACATTTTCTCATTTAAGCTGCAATTTCTGAATATTTTCCTCTACTATAACTCAGTCTAATAAAACTACAAAATCACAGCATTAGAAAAAGTCCTTTGTGTCTCAGACTTTAAGCATACACACACTGACACAAGTTCAGCTGTACCTCAGGGTCTGTTAGCATTTCCATAAAACTCCATTTCTAAGATTTATAAATTCATATATAAATATTCACTTGGGCTGTAATATGCTCAGCTAAGCTGGGGTAGAACTTTCATTTTAAACAACAAAGAGACCCTAACATTTTTAAAGATTGTACCTCATTCCTAATAGGCTCTATATTAGGTTCTTCCACTCTAAACAATCTGTTTTGAAAATAGCCTTTCTCTATATCAACAAAATTAATACAGTTTTTCTCCTTTAAAACAGTGTTTGCTGGAGTTTAATAGTAATAGAACCTGAAAAGCCGATTAAACTGGCAAGGATAATATGTTTTAGGGCAGAAACAAGTTACCTCAATATGAGTTATACAAAAACTAGCCTTGAAAAACTGTTAAATGATACTGGGTTTGAATTTTAGGAATGATGAAAAGATATAAAGGGCTAAATGCTGCTGCTGGTTTGTCAGATGTGGTTGACAGATTTTCAAACATGGCTTTGTTGTAGAAAAACACACAGAATATATGAGAAATTTTTATAAGATTAAAAGCCATTATCACAGTGCAGTGCTAATACCTTCCCAAGAGTTGTCTTAGAACACTGGAATGCCAGCTTTTAGAATTGTTTGACTTGGATTTTTAAAATACTAT